AATTGACAATCTATTCATAAATTTATCTCTAAATCGGTCTATTCTATCCATATTCGTTCTATCGCTGCATATATCAGTTCCTTCCCTACTTTCTGATAAACAGGAGATTCCATTCACTTTAAAATACCTTAAAATACAATCACTATAACACTATCTTTAAAACTGCCTTTCCTGTCTATATATTTTTGTGCCAATGATGTACATTTATTTGACAATCTATTTTTTTGATAAACTGTTTTATAATATTTAATTTGAGTGCCTTCTCAAATGAACTCACAATTATTTTTATTTTTCCTTCAGACTTAATGTTATAAACTGACTTTCAGCTGAGTCTTCAAATTCAGGTTCAGATATGGATTAGTCCACTTCATCCCTTTGTTGTAATGGGTATAACAACTAATTGCAGAGTATCCTCCTGTCGAACCGCTATTTAAATGTTCCCCTTCATTCTAATGTTCATCGAACTTTTCTCCAGTCGGAACTGTGTGTTGTTTTCGTTTGAGTTTCGCCAACGTTCGATGACTTCAATAGCTTGCCAAAAAAAAGTTTGTTGCAAATATTTGCCAAGCGGCCAGTTAGCTGGCACTTTTAGCCCTTTTTCTGCTCTTCTCATTTTTGGCATGTACTTGGCCATGTTGGCACGTTTGTTTTCTGAGTATGTGTGTGTTTGGTTTCATTTCAATGCATTTATTTATTTGATTTCTTTTGCTACTGTTTTTATTACTTATTTGCAGCCGCCACTTCAAATAACTGCGCACACTGTTTGCACAATTCGTGCAAATTTATTTGCACAAGAGCAAAAAAACAAGACCAAAAATAAAATAATGTAATACTCGAAAATATGCGCAATTTGGTATGCAGTGTGGAGTTTGTGTGCGTGCGTTGCAGTTGACCAATTTTGTATTATTATTAATAAAATATGCCGCACCAAAAATTGGCAAGACAAACACAGACCGTAGCGATTGGCTTTTATCGAGCATGAAAACTCGTAAATTTTACTTTGCATGATTTGCTGGCAACATTTAAAATGCAATTGGACAATGTTGTCTATATTCAAATAGAACAAAGTAAATAAACAAACTTCAAGCTTTAGTCAACAAATTGGGAGTAGCCGGAATTTTCAATCAGCAGTATCAATCATGATCAATATTTAAAATACAAAACCAACAATGCAAATCATATTCAGTCCGGCGTTAATTGAACTGCCAGCTGATTTGATTAGATTAGTATACAGAAACTCGTTTGTAATTATTTTTTTGGGCTTACAAACACGCAAATGCACTCACAACAAATACCAACAAATGACACGCGAAAATGGCGGTAAGCATCATATTGGCTGCCTGATTGATTGATTGATTGATGGATGGATGATCGACTGCCGGTTGCTGTTGCCTGCGCGATTAGTCCGATTACCTAATTTCCACAACTGGCCAGCTACGATTTACGTAGAAAAACCATTGCAACAGGAGAGCTCGCACTTAAAGCCTCTTTAAGCCAAGCCAGACACAGTCCACCTCGGCGTTTAGAAATGGCGACAAGCGGCAAATAATTCAATTAACAAATGCCAAATGTCAAGCGCAGCACGGGAAACCCACACCGAAATAGTAGAAATAGCAAGCAAAGAGAGGGAAAACAAATTTCACAAAAATTCTGCAACGAAAAATATATCCCAGTGCCAAAAAATTGCGCGCGCGACAAGCCGAAACAGTCATGCTCTAATTTAGAGGAACAATAAGTATCAATATACGAATATGTGTCCATATTTTTTCCAATAACATAAAAGTAGAAAGATAACAAAATAATTTCTAGATAACATAATAACATTGAAGAAGTTTTCTTCTCTGTAACTTCAAAGCTAGGGTGTATCGAAAAGAAAACAAACAAGAAAACACAATCTTGTCCTTGATCGGTCCAAGACAAGCTGGCCATAAATTAATAATAATAATTGTCCTTTTAGGACAAATATTAAACAAAGCAACAACTGAAATTGAATCAATTATTAAATTAATATTTCAGCTGCACAATTGGCAGTTTTGCTTTTTAGAGACTAAATCATAAAACATTAATTTAATTTTCGAAAAGAATACAATTCTACAAATAATATGTTTCGCAGTAAATTAATTAACATAAATGATACTCGGTTATAAAGCAAAATATACTTAAATCAAATTAATTTTTGGTAAAATCTAGCATGTACAATAAACAATTGAGCAATCATGAAATATTTGACGTTTAGATTTTTAAATTGCCTTTAATTGCAATTATTCAATACTTCAACCTCACATATTTCGGAAAATGAATTAAATAATTCTCAGAAAAATCAGAATCAATCGACAATTTCCCACATTCGGACTAAATCGGCCCTCAGCGCGGAATAAATTAAATGTTTAGCAAAAACATGTGAAATTAAATTTCTTTTATTTAAAAATTGAGCAATCTGTCATTTACAGGGAATTAAAGCAGCAAAAATTTACATATCGTTAAGATATGCTTATATAAGTATCAACTGCGATTTCCAAGTGCTTTAAACGTCTGCTGAAGAATCGCTGAAATTTCTGCCAAATCGTGTTATTTGCGTTGCTATGTTGCCGTTTTTCTTTTGACGGTGTTGTTGGCAATATATATTTGACCTCCCGTTTTTTTCTGTGCTGGCTTTAATTACTTTGCACGCCCACCTGTCTATACATATAAATATATATTTATATACATACATCCACACATTTATAGTGTATTGTATTTTTTTGTTTGGCACGCCCTAAACGGAAATTGTGCGCTGTCGCCTGTCCCTTTTTTTATATGCATTTTGTTTTATTTTAATTGAATTTTGAAATATGTGGGCAATTTTTTTCTTTTGCTCTGCATGATACCAACAGCACAATGTGCGACATTTCTCTGCACCAAAAATGCAATTAATTCGAGCATTTTCTGAATTGTTTCAATGATCCTTTGTAGGGCTTTTATTTTGTTGGTGTTTGTAAGGGCGGCAATAAATTCGCGGCACTTGACCAAAACGAAAAAAAAAAAAAACAATCTCAAATCAAATACATTAAGGAATTTTTCCAGTTCGGTTGAACAAATATACACAAATATATTTATGCGTGGGGAAATCGTTAATTAAATTATGTTTGTCAACAAGTTGTGGTTAAACTGCTGGGCACTTGCCATTTGTCACAGACTAAGGCATTGCGTTAACATAGCATTAGGGAAAAAAATTAATATAAATAATCATTATATATATTTTGTGCAGCTTTTATTTATTTACAGGGCAATTGGAGCAATTGGTTCAATAGCCGCAAACACTTGGCATCTGTGGCGTATGCGCAATTTATTTTAGTTGACACACATTTAAAGTAGTAGGATGTGTTTATGCCAATGGCTATAGGTTTGTAAATATTTCATAAATACTACCATTTAAATGTGCATTTGATGATTTGAAATATAAAGTCACTTTCGATTATTAAATACCCTATAGTCAATTAAGCGCATGTGCAATATTTTAATTCTCACTTTCTTTTCGTCTTTTTGAATAGCAAAACTTATTACAAGTTAAGCGCTTACGGCCTGACATTGAGTTACAATTCAAAGAGACTGTAGTGCGAATGAAAATTTTCTAAATCTATATTCTAACCAGCTCGCTTTTTATGTAAAACTATTGCTAGTCATTTCAACCCTTTCACAAAATAAAGTTGCCATCGTCAGTTGCACTGAAGCGCTCTAGGCGTTTGTGCAATATAATTTATTTAATTGAATATGCCAAAGCATAACTTTAGCCAACAACTTTTCGCTTGCCACACCACAGCTTCCACGCTAGCCGACCAATTGTTAATTGAAACGAAATCCCGTCCTCCTAAGCTCAGCTCTGCGCTGTACATAAATGGCGCTGCACTTTGCTAGCAGCCATTACAGCTGACTCTTTGTAGTGCACACAATGCCAGGGACTACGGACTGGCCGACTGGCTGCAAAGGATTCGCCGCAAACAAATGCCAACAATTAACTGTGGCAACAATAAAATGCAACTAAACTCAACTGAATGCCGGCCTGATGCCCATAAACAGCACGTCGACGCCATCATGAGCATTCAAAGTAGAGATGGCCGTGAAACGTGAATTATGTGGGCACAAAAACTGTATTAAACATTAGGTTGAGCTAGCCATCTAAAATAATAATGGCAAGCCAAGCAGTAAATATGTGTACATATGTTAATTTAAAATGTTTTTTTAAGAAAAAAATCTATTAACCACAAAAGTATTAACTATTTGATTATACTATTAAGTATAATCAAGTAATACATTTTAAAATGTAATTCTAAACATATGTATAATAATTTCCCGATTATAATAAAATTTAATCTGTAAGGAATTTCTTGAATTGCAAAAACATATATTATATATATAAACTAGTATAAATAGTTCATAATTCATTAAATTTTCAATTCAACATCGCTCTCTGCAAACCTTCAAAGACGAAGTATGCGAACTCAGAAAATACAGCCCGCAAATGGGGAAATGTTATTAGGGTCAATTAAGTGAATCAAAACTAATGAATCATCAATCTATCTGTAAATGTACTTAAGTTGTTTCCTCTTAAAGGTTTGACTATCTCATCTTTCATTCTAACAAAAACAATTAAAATAGGTATTCTACATAATCGTTGTATATTGTTTCCGATAAATCACTCAATATCACAAATATTTGTGATTCTTTGCATTTCTTCTCTTTTTGGTGGTTTTTTATTAAAGTTACTATGCATTCAATAAGGTGTTACAATAAATTAATCATTTCTTTAATGTACTATTAGAAAAAGTGCAACTATTTTATTTGTGTCACATTTCGAAATGCAGTTTTGTCAGGTTTAAACTATGTACTTGTATGTATGTTTGCAACAAGAATTCATAAAATATTTGCGAGTGTGAGCCGGGCGATAAAAGTTCTACATTGAACGAAACTTTCCGTACCATCCCTAAGCATCAGTCTATCAAAGTCGCTGGCAGGGTACTTACCGCTCATGACAATCACGACGAGGAGCAGCCACGCAAGGCAAATGCTGTGCGCCATATGGCGTCGCGGCTGGCATTGCAACATGGTGGGGATGGCGGCGATGGCGTCGGACGGGCGCGCAACAGGAACAACAACCGGAAATGCAGTAAGCCGGCAAGCGGCGCGTATACTGAAGACTGGAGATTGGCAAGTGGTGGCTCGGGACCGTCTCACTGGTGGGCGTTGTTTTATTTGATGCTTTTGTTTTTGATGCTGGCTGGCTATGTTAGCGTTGCCGAAACGGCAGATGCTGGCAGCAATAACCAAGTCAGTAACGTCATCATCAACATCATAAGCAGCAACTGCAGCAACGTCATTATCAGCTCTATTAACTTGGCCAATTGCCAGACAAAGGCAACTGTTTTGCTCCTCTCCTTTCCACACTGGCTATTTCTGCTGCTGTCCTTGCTATCCAATGTTATTGTTATAGTTGTTGTTGTTGTTGCTTTTATTGTGCACAAATTTGGCCAGAAGCAATGCTTGCCGTTTCGAGTTCCCCTCGATCCTATTGCCGATGCTGTTTTATGCGCAGAACGCACTCCAAGTGCTTTGAAGGCGGCTGTAAAGAGGAGAATAAAATAGATATAAGAAGATATAGTGGCATTAAGTTCTGTAAGCTGCACTGACATGAAAGTTATTGGAGTGACAAAATTGTGATGTTGTTGCTTTTGCTATTATTCCTACACAATAAGTCAGTAAGCGAGTGAATGAGTGAGCGAGTCAGCGCGCAGGCAATTTCAAATTCCTAGACAGTGCGCGACAAAATCAAAGCCGGAAATGGGCTGCATGATAATGGCGCACGTCTCTTGCATAATATTAAGGGCAGCGCTTGCATTTCAAATTCTATTTTCTTTTCAATTATTGTATTATGCAACTATTGCGAAACACAGTGGGATATGCAGGCCAATTCGTTAACCAGAAGTTAAGCTTGAAGAATATTAATCTCTTGACAATACTATATATAATAGATTATTTCAGCTTAATTTAAGTTGCTTGTTGTCCGACCAATCTTACTTAATTACTAGTTATTAATCTTCAATTCATTTCAACTTTCATACAATCGCATACCAATATTATAGATTATTTAAGCTTAGTTTAAGTTGTTTTATTGAAAACCCTTCATGTTGCCCGACCAATCTTAGCTTATTACTACATATTAATCTTCATATTCTTATTCATCCAATATAAAATTTTATATTTATTCGCAGTATAATACCCTTTTCTACTCTAGTCTATCGTAGTTCAAAAATTCTCGATGCAAGCGAGGGATATCGTATCGATTTTCATACTAAACTAAATATAGAAACATTTCCTGGCAAAATTCGACTATTAACAAAATAACAAAAGTAATATGCAAATATTGGCTTAGAAAAGGAATTTAATTTTACTTTGAACAGAAATGCAGTCTACTAACTCACTATGTTAGGAAAAATGCGGGCACGCGCTAATTTTTGTGGAATTTATGCAATTTCTGCTATTTTATTCAATTTGCTAACAAATTTGTTTTTCTGGCTTCACTTTGTTTTACTCTTCGCTACTAAATTTATATGTTGGTAGAACTGTGGTTCTGCTCCCAAATTTAAATTGTAATTAAGTTAATTGCACAGCCCACTGCCTCCGCCTAGTCTACCTCCCTCTTCGTCCCATCCTGGCTCTATCAGGGTCCTTAGCCATCCGTGCACGTCTAAATAACTGTTGGCAATGGAGGAACTTTCATTTTTTTAATACAAGTATGCCTGTATGTGCCGCACTATAATAATAATTTTTAAAAGCCTTGGCGCACGCACATGAACTCATACACACACACATACATTAGCAAATATGTGTACATAGATATATGCATATAGCGACTGGCTGGATGATCGATTTTTTAGCATTAATGCCATAATAATAGCAACGCACACGCACTCGATGCCGCCGAAAAATGTGCAAATTTCGACATTTCCATTCCCCCATATATCTAGTAAATTTTTCCGGCCCTGTTAGCCATTATTTGCTATTTTGGTGCTGGCGCATAATTCTAATGCATAGCATGTATGCCTCTACATATACATATATTGTATATATATTTATATATGTATGTGTATGTGTGTGTGCGAGTTTTATTCTTCTCATGCAAATTACCAACAAGAAATGCCCGCTTGCAAGCTTCCTACCCCCCTTTCATCCTTCTATCATTCCCTTATTTCTATCGCTGATTCTTCCCTTTGCCGCAGTTATTGTTAGGAAACGGAAACGGCGCAGCAAAGCAACAGAAAAAGGCATTTTTATTATTCTTGTTAGGCCATATGCATGTGTGTGTGTGTGTGTGTGTATGTGTGCGGCTACATGCTAGACTTCGGAAAGCAATTTGCCACGCACTGTCAGTGAAGTTGAACATTTCTAATTTTCAGCTACGAAAAATTTATACAATACCAACAACAACAACAGCATTCACAGCAGCTGTACAAGAACAACAACAAAAATAAAGGCATTGAAATTTACATAAATACATTCACACACACACACACACACACACAAACTCACGCTGCCAAATTTGTAGCACACAAAGATTTTTCCCTTGCTTGGCTGTCATTATTGTTGTTGTTGTTGTTCCTCTTGTTGCTGGTGTTGCTTAAGATATACATTTTAAATGTTGCCCCAGCGTAATCATTAAAAGTGTTTTAAAATCGCTCACGATTGTGCCTGTTAACAGTCCTAGCTGACAGTCTTGGGAACTCGCAAGCCGCACATTGGACCGAATGTGTGGAAAGCCAGAACGAAAGTCAAATACTTAAGGGAGAAGACGAGGCTTCAATTTCCACTTGAACACAGCTTGACCTCAATCAGCTTAACAATATTATGCCCCACGCAAAAATGTGAGCAGTGTCTTTGGAACAAAAGGTTATTGCCTTCCCATTCTTTTATCATAGTAGCCCACATAGCGTATTTGTATTAACGCATCCCGAACTTTTCTTATATACTCTGATAAGAAGTCAGTTTAATATTGAATAATAAATTCTTACGAACTCATAAACGATTTTAATACCTCTCTCCTGAAGCTGCAGTTGCAAAAACTACAGTTGGTCGAATTTCAAAACATAAAATTAGTTTGCTGCTACAAACAACTCATTTGCTATTCGGAGCCTACTTGTAAAATCGAACATATAACAAAAGAAAATAAACCACGACCAAAATATTATACTTTTTTTTTGTTGTAGGTGTAGCCCACATATCTTCACATATTTGAGTATTAAAAGCAACATTTAAGTTTCTGTATTAATATGTTAATATTTGCCTTTCAAGATACAAACAAAATATATTTTGTAATTTGAAGTTTTGAAGGTTTGAGTTTTTTTTTATTGATAATATACAGAAACTATCATTTAGACGCATCGTGTATTATTTAATCCAAATTTTATTTTTTGGTCCCCTTTGGAAAAAGCATACACTGTTTCCTCTCATTTATATTAAATTCTCTTTTTACAGCGAGAATAGAGAAATAGAATAGAGAAATAGAAAATGACAATGACTTCTCTTGTTTTCACATTCTCAAGCCGAATGAGATTTTTAATAAATATATTTTTTTTCTCGAATATACCGACATTTTAAAGCTAAATGAATGTATGCATGTATGTGTATTGGTTTTACGAAAAATTAGCTATTTAATTCATTCAAGCTACTTTCCGTTTAACAAAGGTTGGCAACGCAGGCATTTACAAAAATGCTAAATCTGCTTGAGACTGTCAGAACAAATTCCTATTCCTTTTAAATAGTAATTAGTAATCAACAAGAACTTCTTGATTACAACCAATTTCTGAGATAAAAATGATGAAAGATGACTAAATTCAATTGTTAAATTTTTTTTAGCCCATTACACAAAAAAATTTACATAATAATAATTTAAAGAGACATATCAGATTTTGAAGACTGTCCATGGAGACGTCTCCATGTTTGTCAACTGTATGTAAACAATTTTCATTTTGATTATCAAATATCACCTAATAATTCCAAGAAAATCAAACCATAATCTGGGAGAGAGGTGCGAAATGTTTAAGTCGAACAAATGGATTTAAGCGTAGGTCTGGACCAAAAAAATGCGAGCGTCATTCATTTGTTCTCTGGTGCAGGCACAACAATACAAGTATAAATACAAACGTACATATTATTTGTATTGTGGGCGCCACAAAGAAGAAGAGAAACAGAGAAGAAGCAGCAGCAATAAAATTTATACATATAACATTATAAAGCAATTTGCAGTAAATCACCCAAAGCGTAGCGCGTGTTTATAAATCACAACCAGTTCAAAGCGTGCAGCCAACATTTGCCACCCATTGTTGCCACAAACCCAACATTGGCGCGATTGAGGGAGAGCCTGCGCCTGCAGCCAACGGTGGCAACTGTGGCAGTCACCAGAAATCGAAATGAATAATTAATATGTCTCGCCTGTAGACGCCTATGCAGACAAGGCTCAAGAACATGCGAAAACAAAAGAAATCATACCATTTGTTGGTTTGGTCAAAAAAAAAAAAAAAAACACCCGCCGCGGGCTAAGCCAAGGAACTCGGTCGTGCCACAAGCCAAGCGTCAAGCGGTAAGTGGCAAAAACAAAGGGAGAAGCAAAAGACTCGACAAGATTGACAAATTTGCCGCTGAAGTGGATGTGGAAATGGGGAAAAATGGACGAATGGTAAAATGCTTGGCGGTCGTCACTGCGGCTGCTGAATTTTTCATTTATGACAATGTTTACGTAATTTGACAGCCTAAACAATTTTCTTTTCTTATTTTTCTGCATTGTTTTTGTTTGCGTTTGCTGTTTCTGTTCTTCCCCCGTTTCATTTCAGAGCTGCCCACACAAATGGGCACTCATTTATTTGACAATGGCAGGCAGATTGTGGCCGGCCTGGGAGCAAGTTTTTGTTTTCTCTTCTAATGAAATGGAGTATGGTGTGCCTGTGAGAGTGTGTGTGTATATGTGTGTGTATTTAGCCCATTTAAGGCAGTTTTAAATGCACATTCGTTGTAACACGAAAATTCAATCTGTGCCCTATTCGGTGGCACGACATCTCAAAAGAGTTGCCCACAACAGTCTCGCATGTTGATAGCCTTAAATTCCCCATTCAACCAAAGTGCTTGCTGCAAGTGTTGTTGTAATTTGGCTCAATATAGGCATAAAAGGCGTCAGAGTATGGCAATTTTCTGCTCAATACACCCATCAGTCACCTCAATTCTAAGGATTGTCATTGCCTTGCTTAAAATGTTGTGACGTTAGAAGAACCATTTTGCAATTGCACTTCACTCTGACAAGTTTGGATGGGGTTTCAAGCTGATTGAGCTTGCAATGCTCTCTAAAGATCTGTTGACAAAAATGCGTGGATAGATGTGAGCGTTTGCTTAATATTTGCTTAAATATTGAGGAAGAGTGAGCAAAATATTTATGGCACCACAGATAGCTTTGAATTTTGGTCACTATCCAAGCATTCATCCGATATATCGCTTTCTATTATTTGACTTCATAAAAAAAAAATATTCGACAATATCAAGCATGTAAATGTAAAATTTCCTAGGATAGCTACCTTT